CTCCAGTCTATCACAAGCTCCTTCAAGGACGTCGAGCTTCGGATCTACGCCTGGCACTTCACCTGCTACAGCAGCCAAGAGTGGACCCAGCACTCTCTTTAAGGCCGCTGGCGGCAAGTTTAGGGCGTTGAAGTTCTGGAGACGTAATGACGACGAATTGAAGTAAGTTCTGCTTTTGCGCATGACTCGCTACGGAAGTAATTGACAAACGTCTGCTTTGTGTGCTGTCAAGGCGCCATGCTATCGGCAATGGTGTGTGAGTAGTTGTGCTCGTCAACTCGGGATTGCAAGGCTGGGTCGTGCTCACCAGCGCATTCTTTTGAATGCGTAGCTTGCTCGCAACGCCCTTCGCCCTAGCCGGGGGGATATACGGAGGCTATAAAATCAACAAGTGGAGAAATGGGCGCAAGGCAAAGCTCGAAGCGAACGCCAAGCCTGCCCGTATCGTGCCCGCCAGCGCTTCCAACCTACCTACCAGAGAGACGACCGTCGGAGGCGGAGGACGTGGTCGAGGCATCGCATCTTTCTTTGGAAAGTTTGGCAAATTTGGTCGATTTGCCAAAAGGTCTTCTGTGACCTTGTGAGTTTTGCGAGCCGCCTATTCACTTCTGACGCACCGAAAGCCATCTCACATACACTATCATTTGGTTGAGCTTTGTAGACCGGCATACCTCGATTCACGCGAACCCAAACTTGACTCCCCCGGCGCTGCAGAGTGAGCACTTGAGAAAAGGTTCACACTGTAATGAGCATGCATTGACAACTTGCCTGGCGTGCAGATATATTGTGGCTCCCGTTGTGGTCGTCGGCGCTCGCGGCGATGAACCCGATCACCTGGAAGCCCGCAGCTCTTCTGAGGAAGCCAGACGTAGGCGCAACAAGTCTATGGCCATGTGAGTACGCTGACAGTACCGAGTGAGCAGATGGTAGCGGAGAGGGCGGCACACGTTGGCATTGACTTGCACCACCTCACCAGAGGGGCAGTCTCCTCGGTTCCGTGGCTGGCTGGAGTCGCGGGGGCTGTCTGGTATGCTCACCGCGATCCGAGCAAGCCATTCCGAAATCCCTTCCACGGGCTTCGAGGCGCTTCAAAGCCTGCTGTTGAAGGTCATGGTGGGACTTCAGGATCACGCTTGCTCGGCCTCCTACGACATCTGAGACCCAAGAGACTCCTCAAACGCGCCACGAGCTTCAAGCTAGTGTCAGATAGACATCTGCACTCGTAGTCAGTCTTGGTCCTTTCCCAATTCGATTCAACAAAGCTGCCCTATGCGGCAGCTTTAGAAAGCGTAGATTCGTTCGCATGATGACGCTTGCTCAACGGCAGACGATCCACACGATCGCCGTGGG